CCCACATTGTACCCAGCCCCACTGCAGGCACAGCACCCACATCCCCTGCACCCACGTGCCCCACAGCACCCACGTGCCCCACAGCAGCCACAGACCCATTGCACCCACATTGTGCCCAGCACCCACATGCCCCACATCATCCACAGCCCCACACCCACAGCACCCACAGCCCCACTGCAGGCACACCACTCACATCCACAGCACCCATGTGCCCCACAGCCTGCCCAGCCCCACTGCAGGCACAGCCCCACATCCACAGACCCCACATTGTACCCAGCCCCACTGCAGGCACAGCACCCACATCCCCAGCACCCACGTGCCCCACAGCACCCACGGCCCCAGTGTGGACACTGCACCCACATCCACAGCACCCACATTATGTCCAGGGCCCACATGCATAACCCCACTGCAGGCACAGCCCCACATCCACAGACCCCACATTGTACCCAGCCCCACTGCAGGCACAGCACCCACATCCACAGCACCCACATGCCCCACAGCACCCACAGCCCCCCTGCAGGCACAGCACCCATCCGTACAGCAACCATAGACCCATTGCAGCACCCACACCCACAGCACCCAGATGCCCCACATCATCCACAGCCCCACTGCAGGCACAGCACCCACATCCCCAGCACCCACGTGCCCCACAGCACCCACGGCCCCAGTGTGGACACTGCACCCACATCCACAGCACCCACATTATGTCCAGGGCCCACATGCATAACCCCACTGCAGGCACAGCCCCACATCCACAGACCCCACATTGTACCCAGCCCCACTGCAGGCACAGCACCCACATCCACAGCACCCACGTGCCCCACAGCACCCACAGCCCCATTGCAGGCACAGCAGCCACATCCACAGCACCCATAGACCCATTGCACCCACATTGTGCCCAGCACCCATGTGCCCCATGTCATCCACAGCCCCACTGCAGGCACAGCACCCATCGACCCATTGCAAGACCCACACCCACAGCACCCATGTGCCCCACATCATCCACAGCCCCATTGCAGGCATGGCCCCACATCCACAGCACCCACAGCCCCACTGCAGGCACAGCCCCACATCCACAGACCCCACATTGTACCCAGCCCCACTGCAGGCACAGCACCCATCGACCCATTGCAAGACCCACACCCACAGCACCCATGTGCCCCACATCATCCACAGCCCCATTGCAGGCATGGCCCCACATCCACAGCACCCACAGCCCCACTGCAGGCACAGCACCCATCGACCCATTGCAGTACCCACACCCACAGCACCCATGTGCCCCACATCATCCACAGCCCCATTGCAGGCATGGCCCCACATCCACATCACCCATAGCCCCATGGCAGGCACAGCACCCATCTGCACAGCACCCACAGACCCATTGCAGCACCCACACTGTGCCCAGCACCCACGTGCCCCACAGCACCCACGGCCCCAGTGTGGACACTGCACCCACATCCACAGCACCCACATTATGTCCAGGGCCCACATGCATAACCCCACTGCAGGCACAGCCCCACATCCACAGACCCCACATTGTACCCAGCCCCACTGCAGGCACAGCACCCACATCCACAGCACCCACGTGCCCCACAGCACCCACAGCCCCATTGCAGGCACAGCAGCCACATCCACAGCACCCATAGACCCATTGCACCCACATTGTGCCCAGCACCCATGTGCCCCATGTCATCCACAGCCCCACTGCAGGCACAGCACCCATCGACCCATTGCAGTACCCACACCCACAGCACCCATGTGCCCCACATCATCCACAGCCCCATTGCAGGCATGGCCCCACATCCACAGCACCCACAGCACCACTGCAGGTACAGCACCCATAGACCCATTGGAGCACCCACGTTGTGCGCAGCACCCACATCCCCAACACCCACACGCCCCACAGCACCCACAGCCCCATTGTGGACATTGCGCCCACATCCACAGCACCCACGTTGTGTCCAGGGCCCACACGCATAGCCCCACTGCAGGCACAGACCCACATCTCCAGCACCCACGTGCCCCACAGCATCCACTGCAGGCACAGCCCCACATCCACGGCACCCATAGACCCATTGCATCCACATCCCCAGCACCCATGCTCCCCACAGCACCCACAGCCCCATTTTGGACACTGCACCCACATCCACAGCACCCACGTTTTGTCCAGTGCCCACACACACAGCCCCACTGCAGGCACAGCACCCACATCCCCAGCACCCACGTGCCCCACAGCACCCACAGCCCCATTGCAGGCACAGCACCCATCCACACAGCACCCACAGCCCCATTGCAGGCACAGCACCCATCCACACAGCACCCACAGACCCATTGCAGGCACAGCACCCATCCACACAGCACCCACAGACCCATTGCAGGCACAGCCCCACATCCCCAGCACCCATAGACCTATTGCAGGCACAGCCCCACATCCCCAGCACCCATAGACCTATTGCAGGCACAGCCCCACATCCCCAGCACCCATAGACCTATTGCAGCACCCATGTTGTGCGCAGCACCCACAGGCACACTGCAGGCACAGCACTCACATCCACAGCACACCCAGCCCCATTGCAGGCATGGCCCCACATCCACATCACCCATAGCCCCATGGCAGGCACAGCACCCATCTGCACAGCACCCACAGACCCATTGCAGCACCCACACTGTGCCCAGCACCCACGTGCCCCACAGCACCCACAGCCCCATTTTGGACACTGCACCCACATCCATGGCACCCACTTTGTGTCCAGGGCCCACACGCATAACCTCACTGCAGGCACAGCCCCACATCCACAGCACCCATAGACCCATTGCACTCACATCCCCAGCACCCACATTGTCCCCAGCATCCATGTGCCCCACAGCACCCACAGCCCCACTGCAGGCACAGCCCCACATCCCCAGCACCCACAGCACCCACAGCCCCACTGCAGGCACAGCCCCACATCCCCAGCACCCACAGACCCATTGCAGCACCCATGTTGTGCCCAGCACCCACGTGCCCCACAGCCCCATTGCAAGCACAGCCCCACATCCCTAGCACCCACATTGTCCCCAGCACCCACGCTGTGCCCATCCCCCACGTGCCCCACATGCCGTGCCCAACCCCTTCCCCAGAGCCCCCCCCTTTCCCCCCCCTGCTGCCCAGC